GGAAGCTCTAATCAATCTAATTAATCTTACCACAACCCCCAAACATGACACCTCAGTGTCTTACGAGGCCTCTGAGCTCATATAAACCTAGAGGAGTCAATTTTTTTTGATCATGCTCTACTCAAATAAAACTATGTAGAAGTCTCTAAAACAAAGCTTAAATATGACGTGTGTCTGGGTTTCTTTATTTGTGGTCTATAATCAACACAAAGGTAGGTTAAGAATTGAGTATATATCATGTATATAAGCTCTAGGACAGCCTTTATTTCCTCTACCACAGAAACTTCATAAGATACAAAAGACTCCTAAGTATGTATGAACAAATATAGGAAACATAAGGCACTTAATGAGCTCATTATACTCCCTTAGATGGTAAAGACACTTTGTACAGAACAAATCGTCCTCATTTACCATGCAAGCTACTCGCAGCAACATCATGCAGGGTTGGCAAGGTCTAGATCTCCTGGCCCCTCATGACATGGCTTTATTCCTTAGCTCTAGGGCCTCCTGTTGGTGGTCCTCTTTTCCCCAAAGCATGTGGTAAGAAAATTCCTCTCAGGGCAGCTAGTACCTGACTCTAAACTCAGGATTACTCATGAGGTAACCCACAAACTGGAAACATTATTTTTAGGATTGATATTCTCTAATTTATGCCCCAAAAGGAAAACAAAGAAGAGGAAAGAATCCAGGATTAGGAAATCTGGGTATAAGCTTATGTTTCCCACTGCCATGTGTATCTGCTGTAAGTTGCCATTGATGCTTCTGTTTGGAGGTAGAGGAGAGATCACCCTCTTTATTGTATTCCATTCCAGAAATCCAAGGGAGATAAAAAAAAGAGAAAAGGCCCAATGGTGGGCTATTCTACAGTTTATTTTTATAGAACCCAGGTTCTTGTAGAACCAGTTCCTCAGACAGAAGTCCATCCTATTGGATTTCAGTCAGTCATCAGGAGGCAGCTTCAGATACTGAGGATCACACAGAGACCTTCCCTGTGTACTCTCATAAAGGTACTAGGGCCTACGCCAAGCTCCATAGGAGATGCCCATAATAATAATAGCTAGCATTTATATATTGCTTTAAGTATTGTAAAACTCTTTACAAATATTATCTGTGACTCCCTCCTCAAGGAAACACCCCCACCTCCACCTCAGACTACCTGACTGCTACCTCTTTAATCAACCAGCAGGGCTGGAATCACATCTGTGGAAGTCAGGGCTTTCCTGGATCTCAATTATCAGATTCTTTCCATTCATTTTTATGTGGCCCACCATTATATCTGGGCCCCAGTGACAAAACCAATTAATGGTTTCTGAATCTGGCTTTCCTGCATATAACACTCTGGGAGATAGGAGCTTTTATTGTTCTCATTTTACAGATAAGGAAACTGAAATAGGCAGAGGTCGAGTGACTTGCTCAGGGTCATACTACTAATGTTTGAGGCTTGACTCCACGTACAGCATTCTATCTACTTCACCCTGTACTAGCCTCTTTACCTTCCCTAACCTGTAGTATATCATCTTAAGGCCAATGATTTGTGATGTCATCAAGTAGATCAGGGGACTGATCAAAGGGAATGACCAAAGACTCCCTTGATTAGCCTCCATTATAAGCAATTATCCGATTTTTGCTGTTTTTGCCGTGTTTTGTGGGTGCCTTTTGAACAGCAGCATGGTATAGTGGATAGAGTATGGACTTGTAGCGAGGTAAATCTGTGCTCGAATTCTGTCTCAGACACTTATTAGCTGCCTGACTCTAGGCAAGACATTTGATCTTTCCACCTTAGTTTCCTAATCCATAACATGATTGTAATAGCACCTATGCCATAGGATTATTGTGAGAATCAGATGAGAGACGGTATGTGGAAGGGCTTAAAGCCTATATAAGTGTGAGCTTTTATTATTTTAATAGTCTGTAGTGACTCACAATTTGATGAGGTTAAGTTCCAAATTGATAGGCTTGAGGATTCTTAAGAGAATTCTTAACAGGATTCTTAAGGGAATCCACAAATCATGTTTATAACAATTGTAGAAAGAATTTGAGTGTTCTTTTTTATGAGTTAGTTTTAGGTATGGGTATACAGATAGTGTTTTCAGATACAAGGCTAGAATATCTAGAATAACGTTCTGAGAATAAAGAACCCGTCCGTGTCTGGTGGTGTGATTCAGTTTTTACTTTTAATTAGTCTATCAATGAACATTTGTTAAGCCTTTTTTTAATGTGCCAGACACTGTGTTTTGTATACAAGGTACAGAGAATGAAACAGTCTCTACTTTATGGAGCTTAGAATTTTAGGAGGGGAGACAAGTACATATAAGCATATACAGAATAGACATCAAATGAATAGAAACAGATACAAAGTCATTAAATATAAGGTAGTTTGGAAGGTAGAGAACTCACAGTTGCGGGGGAGGGTTCAGGAAAGACTTTGTGCAAAAGATGTTGTGGTATCTTAAAGGAAGATCCCCTCTATCTTGTTGTTGTTGTTTGTCCGTCATTCTCAGAGGACCAGTGACACGGAAAGGTGATGTCTTGACTTGCAAATGAATTGGATTTAAGTAAGGCCAGGCTATGCCAAGTCACCAGCCTCACTCTCTCCTCCTGCACCATTGGGTCCAGTGGCAAGATACAGATCAAGACGACTGGAGATGGCCCTAGATGGGCCATCCAGTGGGAGACCATGGCCTTTTTAAGCTAGATCTTCCCCAGGTCTGTTTGTCTGAGGCAATATCCATTCAGTGATTAAGTCTAGGTAAGAAAGGAAGCAAAAAAATGGCCTCTTTACCTAGTAAAAAAAAAAATCAATCTGGGAGGAAAAGACTCTCAGGGTTTGTGGCCCAAACTGATACAATTGTTGTTTACACTCACTCTTGAGCCATCACAACCCAAACAATGACCAAGTGAGGCTTGGGGTGGGACCTATTGTTGGCCAATCAGCAAGAGCCAGAGTGATTTGGGTTTAAGGCTTGGTCAGGTAACTCCATTTGATTCCCAGTGGGCTTTATCAAAGCCTGGTCTTCAAAGGCTGTATTTCAATGAGACTACAGGAGCAAAAGAGTCAATTGTCCCAATTTTTTCCCCCTCAAAAATCATAGAATAAATAAGTAGGGAAGAGAAAAAAAACATCCAGCCTTTAAACCCCAACATATCCCATGAGGTTTCGGCCATCAAAATCTATGTTCCTTTGGGCAGAGTATCCACAGGTAAGGTTTTGATGGAAAAAAACAAAGCCTTCAATGAGGTGAAGTAAGGAGGGAGTGCATTCCAAGCAGGTAGGCCACCAGAGCAAGGCACAGAGATGGGAGAAGGCATGTCATGTCTGAAGAACAGAGAAGTCCAGTTTGGCTGGATCACAGAGGGAGGAGGTCCAATAATAGTTATGTAGTGTTGTTGGACTCTCCAAAAGTCGTTCTCTCCCTGCTTTAATCATTTTCAAGTAATTTCATTATTTCCTCCATATGAAAACATGTTTATTTTTAAAAAATTTTCCTATCCCATTTCTAAACATTTATAGTTCAATAGAATTATTTTATATCAAGAAATTTTTACATAAAAATTTTGAATGCTGATAGTGGTTCGTCAGTGACAGAGATTAAATAAATCTCAATCCTGTCTCATAATCTAGTAAGGGATATAACACATACTAGTAAATATAATACAAAATAAAATATAGAGTAGTGAAAAAAAGTAATAGCTTTGGAGTCAGAAGACCCAGCTTCATATCCCAGCTCTTTACTGCTTTGTGACCATGGACAATTCTTCACCTATATAGGCTTGAGTTTCCCTTTCTGTTAAAGGAGTTAAACTAAAAGATTTCTAAAGTCCTTTTCAGCACTAAGACCTATGTGTATAAGCAAACAACATAAGTACAAATTTGTTTTTTTTTTAAATCTCTTTCATTTTAGTTAAAAAAAATTATTTCTCCCTCCCCCACCTTCCAGTTAAAAAAAAAGATAAAGATAAACAAAATCATTGTACTTAATCAAACAAAACAGGAATAATAATTAGTTGTTGATGTTGCCATAGGGACAGCTAGGTGGCACAGTGGATAGAGTTATGCAGCCTGGAGTCAGGAAGACTCATCTTCCTGAGTTCAAATGTGACCTCAGACACTAGCTGTGTGACCCTGGGCAAGTCACTTCACCCTGTTTGCCTCAGTTTTCTTATCTGTAAAATGAACTGGAGAAGGAAATGGCAAACCACTCAAGATCTCTGCCAAGAAAACCCCAGATGGGGTCATGAAAAGTCGGACATGACTGAAAAACAACCAAACAACAAAATATGTTGCCATAATAGGATTTCTTCAGGAATTTTACAGAGAATAATAACACATCTTTTTTCATCAGAAATTTTTTCCAAAGTTGTCACTGGCCCTTTTTTCTTGTAGTAGAAGTCATGCTATGTCAGAAACCTATGCGTGTGTTTGAAACTTAGCAGAAAACTTCCTCTCTTACCTAGCATGGACCTAGTGAGGGACAAATTAGTCTTTCTTACTTGGTATCAAAAAAGCAGTTTAGTTCAGGAGTCGCTTGGAGCCTTTTATGATCCTTTTGAAGGTGAGCTTGGGTTCATTTTTGAAATATGGACCTGGAATGTTAATAGAGAAAAAAGTGATTTGCCTTTTGTAAATGGTTAAGTAAGACTGTCATTTACTAGCTATATCACCTTGGACAAGTCCTAGTCCCTTCTCTGGACCTCAGTTTTCTCTGTAAGATGAAGGTATTAGACTACCGGACCTTTGAGGCTCCACCCAGCTCTAAAGCCTATGATTATGTAATGCTAAAGCAGTCAAATAACGTCTAAGCTGCCAAATTTTCTTCTGGTTTGGGAATTAATGCTTTCCTACTTCTGTCTTTGAAGAGCTCCCAGCAAGTCACAGATTTTATGATGATATATGAGGTATTCTACTGTCTACTTCATGTTTCATCAACTCCTTTCCATTTCTGATAGTTGTAGTAACTCATGCAGGTATATACATGTTTACTTTTTCCTCTCTATTTTAGTGAGGCTCTAAACAGCTTCATTTCCTACGTCAGAGAAGGCATGCACAGGGTAAGTGTCTTCACATTCAAAGAAGCAATACAATGTTGAAAATATTTTGAGTATTGAGATTTCTGATTTTACTGTATTTGTCTTTATTCTTCTTTGCTTCTCTTCCTTGTTCAGGACTTAATGAAAATTCTGTAATGAGAGTGACGTTTGATGAATGAGCTAATTTAATTTTGTTGAATTTCTTAGTTGCAAACATCAGTGGAAAAGTTGGAAGAAGAACTCAGTGCAAGAAATCAGTCCATTTTGGATTCACTGGAAGCAATTGCTAAGACATGTAAGTAGTGCCTCCTCTCAGTTTTTGATTACTAACAGAGAACACTGACAATAAGTTTAGCATGGATATCTTGTTTCTCAGCCAGGATTGAGGAATATGGGCAGCAATAGAATGTGCAGTTTTTTTAAGAGGAAGTAGACAAAATCTGTTGAGTTAAGGATCAGTTAGCACTTATATAAAGAGAGGGAATCAGAAAATAGCTATCAGTTTACAAGGCCAGCTTTCTGTGCTGGTAATACTTGGGTTTGTTTCATCCCTTGCAAGGTGCTTTTTCTAAACAGTGTGCCACAACAGGATGGCTGTGTATCATTCTTCATAAAGACAGGTGGCTGATTGCTTGGCTGTGTCTGCTTATCTGGGTAGTGGCAATGAGCCAGAGACTCACCAGGCATCCCTAAATTCCAGCATTACTGGGTAGTGCTGCCATTAGGGACACCATACTCAGAAAGTACGTACAAAGTTGCACAAGATTAAGATGACTGCTCTTAGATTTCATTGAAGTTGTTCTTGAAGTCATCTTCAAAGTCTTTACACATCCCTGTCATAACCTGTAGTAGGACCAAGGTACCTTCTGGCCATTTGTTTGTATTTTTTCACCAAAATTTTAAAATCTTTTTTTTAAAAAAATTATTACTCATTTATTTTAAACATTCTTTTCTTTTTAAATTTTGAGTTCCAAATTCTCTCCCTCCCATTCCTTTCCCCCTCATTGAAAAGGTAAACAAAATTATATCTATTATACATGTAAAATCATGCAAAACACATTTCCATATTAACCTTATTGCAAAAAAAAAAAGATCATAAAAAAGAAGAAAGGACCCACATGTACAAAAATATTTACAGCAGTTCTTTTTGTGGTGGCAAAGAATTGGAAATTGAGGGGATGCCCATCAATTGGGGAATGGCTGAACAAGTTGTGGTACATGAATGTAACAGAATACTATTGTGCTATAAGAAATGATGAGCAGGCAGACTTCAAAAAAACTTGGAAAGACTTACATGAACTGATACATAATGAAATGAGCAGGAGAACATTGTACACAGTAACAGCCACATTATGGGATGACTGACTTAGATAGACATGGCTCTTTACAGCAATGCAAAAATCTCAGACAACTCCAAAAGACTCACAATGGAAATTGCTATCCACACCCAGAGAAAGAACTATGGAGGCTGAATGCAGATGGAAGCATACTATTTACTCTCCTTTTCCTTTGTTGTTTTGTTTTATGGCTTCATTCTCATGCTTCCTCCCACTAGTTCTAATTGTTCTTTACATCATGACTAATGGGAAAATATGTTTAATATGAATGTATATGTAGAGCCTATATCAGATTGTACACTGTCTTGGTGGGGGAAGGGGGAAAAGTGGGAGGGGAGAAAATTTAAAACTCAAAATTTTACAGAAGTGAATGTTGAAAACTAAAAGTAAATTAATTATCAAAAAAAGAGCTGCTATAAATATTTTTGTACATGTAGATCCTTTTCCTTTTTCTTTGGTCTTTTTGGGGGTACAGACCTAGTAGTGGTATTGCTGGATCACAAGGTATGCACAGTTTCATAGCCCTTTGGGTTTAGTTCCAAATTGTTCTCTAGAATGGTCGAACCAGTTCACCACTCCACCAACAATTTTCCTACATCCCCTACAACATTTATCATTTCTGATGGGTGTGAAGTGGAACCTCTGAATTGTTTTAATTTGCATTTCTCTGATCAGTAGAGATTTAGAACATTTTTTCATATGGCTATCGATAGCTTTGATTTCTTCTTCTAAAAGTTACCTGTTCATATCATTTGACCATTTATTAATTGGGGAATGGCTCTTATTTTTATAAATTTGACTCAGTTCTGTACACAGTTTATATTTAAGAAATAAGGCCTTTCCAAAGTGTGGATTTATTTTGGTTATGTATATTTGTTACAAAAATTTTGCTTTTGCTTTTTTTTCCGATGAAGGGAAAGAATTTTTTGGAGAGAGTAAAGAGAATAGCAATAGTTTCGTCAAAAAAAAAAAAAGAAAGAAAAATGGTCATTGAAACATTTTGTAAAATGCATAGAAGCAAACAGAATGATTATTATTATTATTTTTAGGCAATTGGGGTTGGGTGACTTGCCCAGGGTCACACAGCTACTAAGTGTCAAGTGTTTGGTCTGGGACCAGATTTGAACTCGGGTCCTTTTGACTTCAGGGCCAGTGCTCTGTCCACTGTGCCTCCTGGCTGCACCCCCCTCCACCCGGAATTATGTTTAGAAGGAAATCCAGTTCAGCAGGATGGCTTTGAAAGTAATATATTTGAATTTATTATATACTTAAAAAGGAAAGCAAGCTACTAGAGACTGGCACTTTCAGTAAATCCTTATTGTCTGCTTTATTTGACATATAGAAATGCTCATTTAAATCAGTATTTGTTAAATTTAGAATAAAAATAGTTTTGAAAAAAAAAGAAAGAAATAAGGCCTTTATTAGAGAAACTTGCTGTGAAAATTTTTGATATTACTTCATTGTCTATGGCACCTTTTGGCAAAATGTAATTTTCCTAATTATTGCTTTTAATTAGGTCTATTTTTGCTTTTGTTTTATCTGAGATTGTAATTTCTACACCTGCCTTTTTTCTTCAGCTGAAGTATAATAGATTCTGCTCTAGCCCTTTATTTTAACTCTGTATGTATGTCATTCTATTTCAAGTGTGTCTCTTGTAAACAATATATTGTTGGATTCTGATTTCTGATCCATTCTGCTATCCCCTTCTGTTTTATGGATGAGCTCATCTCATTCACATTCACAGTGATTGCTAACTGTATATTTTCCTCCATCCTATTTTCTTCTGTTTATCCTTCTCTCTTTCCTTTTATCTTGTCCCTCCTCAAAAGTCTGTTTTGCTTCTGACCATTGCCTCCCTTAATCAACCCTCACTTTTATCATTCCCCTTCCCTCTATATCTCTTATCCCCTTTTCCTATTGGGTAAGATAGATTTCTATACCCAACTGAGTTTGCGCACGCATGTGTGTGTGTGAGTGTATGTGTATGTATAAAATTCTCTCTTTGAACCAATTCTGATTAGAGCAAAGTTCAAGCATTGTCTGCCTCCTCCATTATTTCCCCTTGCACTATAAATACTCTTCCTTGCATGTCTTTTATTTGAGAAAACTTTCCCCACTCTTCCTCTTCCTTTTCCCTTCTTCCAGTGCATCCCTTTTTCTTGTCCTTTCTTTTTTTTTGGGGGGGGAGGAGATATCATTCCAATATAATTGACTTATACTCATGCCCTCTGTCTATGAAGATTCCTTCTAACTGCCCTAATAATGATTAAGTTCTTAGGAGTTATATCTATCATTTTTCCATATAGGAATATAAACAGTTTAACTTTAATTGAGTCTCTTGTGATTACTCTTTTATGTTTACCTTTTTATGTTTTTCTTGAATCTTGTGTTTTAATATCAGATTTTCTATTCAGCTCAGGTCTTTTCATCAAAAATGCTTCAAAATCTTCTGTTTCATTAAATATTAATTTTTCCCCCAGAAGAATTATACTCAGTTTTGCTGGGTAAGTATTTCTTGGTTATAATCCTAGATCCTTTGCCTTCTAGAATATCATATCCAAGCCCTCTGCTCCTTTAATGTGGAAGCTGCTAAATCTTGTAAGATCCTGATTGTGGTTCCATGATATTTGAATTGTTTCTTTCTGGCTGCTTGCAGTATTTTCTCCTTGACCTGGGAGCTTTGGAATTTGGCTATAATATTCTTGGAAGTTTTCATTTCGTGATCTCTTTCAGGAGGTAATTGGTGGATTATTTTAATTTCTGTTTTTCTCTGTATCAAAGATATTGAGGTGGTTTTCCTTGATAATTTGTTGAAATATGATGTCCAATGTTACAGTGGAATAAAGACCAACTAGTTAGTTACATCCAGACAATAATTTATGTGGCCATACATATGTTTGCAGAAACAAATCAGGTCCACTGCTCTCAGTAGCCAAGGAAATTGACCATTGGTTTCTACACAGTTAATATATAATTTGGAGGGAGTGGGGGGAAAAAAAAGGAAAAACAGGATATAGGGATTGAGACACCTGGTTTCCTGTTGGTGGAAGGGATTGGGAGACACTGGGGTGAAAGGGAAGGGAATTGTCTTCTGATATTCCTTAAGTTGGGTGACTTTTGGGAAGGGGAGTAATCTTGTGACTTCTCCAAAATCAAGTGACTTACAAGCAGCTGAAACTTAGCAAAATGGTGGGTAAAGGTAAACACTAGGGTTATTTTATCATGGCTTTGTATCAGTTGGGTAATTCATAGGTAATTCAATAATTCTTAAATTATTTGTACTTGAACTAGTTTCCAGCTCAGTTGTTTTTCCAGTGAGATGTTTCACATATCTTCTATTTTTTTCATTCTTTTGATTTTGTTTGATTGTTTCTTGATGTCTCATGGAACCATTAGTTTCCTCTTGCTCAACTCTAATTTTAAAGAAATTATTTTCTTCAGTGAGCTTTTGTACCTTTTTTTTACATTTGGCCAATTCTGCTCTTTAAACAGTTCTTTTCTTCAGTGAATTTTGGTGCCTCTTTTACCATTAAGCCAATTCTGTTTTTTCGAAGTGTTATTTTCTTCTGTACTTGTTTGTGCCTCTTTTGCTAAGCTGTTAATTCCCTCTTTATAATTTTCTCTCATTTCTTTCTGCACTATTTCCTCTACCATTCTTATCTCTCTTTTTTAAACCTCTTCCAGGAATTCTTGTTAGGCGTGGGTACAATTAACATTTTTCTTTGAGGCTTTGGTTATAGCTGCTTTCACATTGTTGTCTTCTGAGATTGTGTCTTGGTCTTCTTTGCTACCATAGTAGCTTTTTTTGGTCAGGTTTTTGTGTTATTATTTGCTCTTTTTTCTAGCCTATTTCTTGACTTTGAACTTCATATTAAAGTTGGACTCTGTTCACCTGGTGGGATTGGGGTACTGTCCCAAGCTTCAGGCTTTTTTGTAGTGCTATTTTCATAGCTTGTTC